GAAACATTATTCCAAAGGTACTGTATATGGACAACAAGATATAATATATAATACATCTTTAAATACAAGATTTACAATATTTACTTGTTTAATTTTTTTTCTGGATATGTTCCTGATCATAACTTTCTGAATTGTCAGACAGTTTTATTTGCTATTGTCCAAGTTTAATAATGTTCTTTGGTCTGTTCCTTTCATATTTGTAGTTATCGGTGCCTGTTTAGCTCGCTGCTTGGGTTTTAACTCTCCATGTTATTCCCATGCATGAAGGAAGCTCCGGAGTTAAGGTTGTGAAAAAGCTGGAAGAGAAATTACATTTTTCTTCAGGGTCCCCAGGCTTGGTTCCTTTTATGAAGTATAAAGTTAAAACAGTACTATTCCGGCAGCTGGGGCCCAAAATAATACCAGAAAATAACTTTCTCATAAAAATATGGTTATTTTCAGTAATGACACTACAGTTTGTTGCCCTAATTTTACATGGGATTTTGCCTTTAGTGCTTTTAAACATTAAATTAGGAACATTTTAATGTGATTAAACAATTACCTATAAACAAGGTTTTATGTATTTGTCTGTTTAGATTGTTAAAATTCATTCACAAATGCATCATAATTTCACAAATATTTGTCCGTTATTTGAAAGATTGAACTGTTAAATTCAAATGTAATGCTATGGAAAAATAAATAAATAAATATATAAAATTATTCTTATAAACTAAAAAGGAAAAAAGAAAGAAAGCAGAAACAAGTCATGAATCCCTGTGTTACAGCTGCTCTGTGTCTCTGCAGACTGAGTTGTCCTTCATGCCTTCGGTTGGACTGGAGTTCATCACCCAGATGGGCGTGCACATTCCAGACTACGTGGACGCCGGGATTCAGACGCACACCAACATGTACCATGAAAGTTCCCTTAATGCTAAAGCTACAGTTAACCGAAGGCAGGTCAAGCTGTCCATCCCTGCTCCTCAGTCGAACACTCAGCTTTTCAGCGTGAGGTCAGTGACCCACAGTCTTTCTCTGTTTGAGTTGTGTTGTTCTCACTCACCTCACTCCACGTTCTTTCTCAAATGCAGCACCAAGGTGCTGTCTCTGTCATCTGGTCAAACAACGATGGGGCCATGCAAGGTGGGAGACCGGGCCGACTCAGTCGATTGCCAGCCTCTGCTCAGTGGTCTGAAGCTCTGCACAGCAGTGCGTTACTCCAATCCTACCTCTGTGGATCAGGCACCATGTTCCTCTCTAACCGGAGAAACCAGGTAAGAAGGTCGATCAGCTCATCTGAGTTGATCCTTTGTGATTTGACTTTGACATCTATTGCTGCTTTTTACCACACAGCTAACAAATCCTGGATTAATGACAGTTTGTTCTTTCAGGTTTGCAGTTGAAATCCAGCCAACAGGAACAGTTTCAGAGTACACCGCCACCATCGCAGATGAGACGGTCAGAGAGGGCAAACGAGGGCGCCATAAGGTGGAAACGCTGAAATTAATCCTGAAGGCAGAAGGTAACGCTATTAAATATGATGTCTGGACGTGTTTGTGTGCAAGCTCAGTTCATAAGACTGAGAAGGTTAAACCATCATGCTCTCCCAGCTCTCCCAGCATCATGAACAAATATGAGTCGTTCTCACAAAACAGAGGGTGCTGTGTTTACTTTGGCTCATATCTGTCTTCATCATATTTTATATCTGGGCAGGGACAGCTCAGTAGGAGTGGTCGCCCATGATCAGAAGGTCAGGGGTTCAAATCCACTGAACGGCTACCCTGAGGTACCCTTCTCCCTGTACGCTGCTCGCCGGGCGCTGCATTGGTGGCTGCCCACTGCTTCACACAGTGAATGGGTTAAATGCAGAGAGGATTTCCCTACGGGGATCAATAAAGTACACATTATATAAATCCTTGTTTTCTTTAAACTGTTGTCAGGGATTTTGGAGTGTCTTTGGAGTGTAATGGTCCCTTCAGTGAAAGAATTCATAAAAATGAAGCACATTTTTGCTGACGGCAGCTAACAGCCGGCTAATTGCTTTAATTTTTATCTTAACAGGCGACGATTCATCGGAGGCCTCGGCAGCTCTGAAATACAATCGCTTAAAAAACACCGTCTCTGCTGAGGTCGTCATTCCTGACTATGACGTGGAAGCAGGAGTCAAACTGGTTTTCACTGAGAGCGGTGCTGAGAGGAAGATGAGGGGCATCACCATCGATATCACCAACAAGAACATCCCACAGCTGACGCTTGTTGGACGTGCCAGGTACAGAGTTCATTAAACAAGTCTTGGGTCCTTTATGAGGTTTCGGTTGTGCTGAGTGGATGGGAAGCCGACAGTACACGTCTTTGTTTTAAATGCAGGCTTAGCATGATGAATGATGGCATGCTGCAACTCCAGATGGTCGTTCCTTCTCTGAAAGCCGATGCATCTCTCACTGCAAACCTAAAGAAGGATGAAGATATGGTCATGGACCTGGAGACCATCATGCACCTCTCTGAGATATCATATCAGCAAAAAGCTTCCCTAAAATACGGTAACTGTGCCTCCTCTCATCAATACAGGGGACAGCTGCATGGATTCAGTCATTTGAGGGTTTTCTGGATTTTCTCTCCAGATAATGACAAGTTTGAGGTGGAACTGAAATCTGACCTGAATTCAGAGACGCAGAAAATGATCCCTAATGTGGAGGCTCATCGCAGGCAGCTTCAACAGCTCGTTGATGAGATCCTGGACCAGAGGGTGGCGAAGACAGACATGAAACTGCGTCACATCATCACAAAAGGAATCGAGGTGTCATAAAACATCGTGTTCAGAGTGTTACGCAGCTTTTACAGGCAGTTTTACAACTTTACAGTGAGATCTAACAGGTCTTTGTTTCACTTTGAAGGCGGGTAACATATGGCTGGACAAACTGACGGCGCACATCCCCACTCTGGCAAAACTGCGAAGTAAGAGAAGCCTCTCTGATCTCGCTCTGCCAGCTCTGCCAGAAAAACTGTTCCTGCAGTCGTAAGTGTTTAAAAAATCAGCCTCCAGATATGAATGGGCTCCACCTGTTCTGCAGCGCTTCAGTGTTCACCTTTCATTTTACCTCAACAGCGACACTTTGTTCCGGTACCAGTTCAACAAGGACAAGATGGCCATCTCACTTCCTCTTCCACTTGGAGGCAAAAAGTCCGAAGAGCTGAACGTACCAAACTCCCTGTCAGTGCCCCTCATAGATTTACCACAGATAGGTCTGTACATCCCACCCAGGGCCTATCAGCTCCCACGGTTCACCATACCACCGTCTCTGGATTTGTCTCTCCCCCTTCTCGGTCTGGCTGCAGCATCCACAAAGATCAGCAGCAACTTCTACAGCTGGGAAGGCTCGATCTCTGGGGGCAACAACACCGCCGATGTCCCCAGCTACACTGCACAGTTCAGGGCCACGGCCCAGTCACCTTTCAGCCTGTTGTCATACAAGCTTGAAGGTAAAAAGTTATTCTTCTGTCAAGTCACTTAAGACTCTATGAAATCTGACAGGATAAGATTGAGGCTGGCTAACAATGAGCTCTGCGCTCATGAAGTATTTAAATCAGCACGTGTGGTAGGCTCATGCACCTGTCAGCCGGCACGTCATATTACTGTTAAGTTGGTCTTTGTTAAGATCAGTTTGAGTCAGACTCTATGTTGGTTTTACGGCAAAGAGAGATCGGACCAGTGGGGTCCTCTGAAAACTTCCATGTACTGTGATATTTCTGCAGATTCATTTCCTGTTACTGGTTCAGCCATGGTCAGGAACAGTACTGATTAGTGCACATTTGGGTTGTGGTCCAAAACAAACTGCTAGTGCAGCAACAGTAAGATCAACACCTCTCAATCAGTGCCTGGAAAGCCCTGATGGTGCAGTGAGAAGAGTCTTCACTTACCAACATTTTGTCTTACAGCAGGTAAAACGTCATGCTTCCATGTTTGCATACTAATATAGTATCATTTGTGTCTGTTTTAAGGCACCGGGATGATGTCGGGAAGAGGCGATGATAATCTCAAGTATCTTCTGAATAGCTCCTTCAGCCATAGCCTCATCGACACAAGCGTCAGCGTCTTAGAAACATTAAGGGTGACGGACAAACTCAAGGCAAGAGCCAATTACAAGATGGAAGCTTCTAGTGCTTTAGGCTTGCAAGCCACCCTCTACTACTCTGCTCATGCGACTTCCTCCCTAAATTCAGACGAAGTCTCGGGAGATGGCACCGTCAACGGACTCCTCAAAATTGGCTCATTCCACACCAACGCTTCCTACCTTCACAGCTACAACCTACGCCCACTAGATCGAGAAGGACGAGGAGAATCCACTCTGAAGTTTGACTCACCAGTCCTACAAGTTCACAACACAGTCCGTGGAGTCTGCAAAAACTCAGAGTTATACATCATGTCCCAAACGAGCGCTCAGAGGGACATGCTCCAGCATGTGGCAGAACTCAGATATAAGGATGCGCAGCTGACCCTGAAGTGCAGCGCCTTGGCCAAAGCCATGGGGGAATCACTAAGTAACCAAGTTGAGTTTGGAGTGTCCAACCAAATGGCCCTTCTCACAATTGAATCCCAGGCATATGACGACAAAAACAGGGTATACTCCCTGATATCAGGATCTCTGGATTCAAATGGGCTTCAGGTAAACTCTGAGGGTTCCCTCACCTTAGAAACAGGGCGTGTCTGGCATAAGGCTTCTGTAACAGCTGGAAAAAATGGTCTGACAGCAAGTGGCACAAACAGCATACAGTGCAGTCCTGTGACAGTGGAGAACATTTTCAACTGTGCGATAGACAACAGTGGAGCATCCCTTTCCTCCTCTACCAAAGCGATGGGTGACGAGAGCAGAGGGGAGCTGAAAATTGAGGGTGAAGTCACAGCTGCTAAAGCCTCTCTTTACGGTGACCTGAAGGGATATGCGTACGACGCAACGACATTAAGCAGCGTGAAAATGATGCTGGACAGAAGAGCTCTGAGTTTTACCGGAAACACAAAGGGAACACTCAGACAGATGAAAACAGAAAACAGCCACAAACTCACCCTCACCCTGTGGACCCTCAGCCTCCGCTCCGAGTCAAACAACTTCATCTGTGACGATATTTACTACAAGCAAGACACCAAGCTCGATGTGAAGCCATTTTTTACGCGATTCAATATGAGAAATGACCTCCGGTTTTATGACGTCGCTTTGAGCCATGAGGGTCACGTAAGGCTCGAGCCAGTTAAGGTGGATCTCCGTGGAAGCGTGACTGCAGCTCACAGAGAGCAACACAGCGTCAAACATACCTATGAACTCACCTATGACTCACCTGTGGCTGGCACCATGAAATACAGCACATCTGGAAACGTGATGGACGCCCAGCTCACTCACAGCTGTGAACTGGAATTTGCTGGACTGTCTTTAACATCAGACTGTGAGGCGCAGGTAGACTCTTCACCTGTGCGGTTTAACAGCAGCGTTCGCACCATGGTGCTGCCTTTTCGCCTCACTGTGGATGCTGGTTTCAACGCGGCGGGAGAAATTAATCTACGTGGGCAGCACACCGGAGACACGTACAGCCAGCTGCTGCTGAAAGCTGAGCCCCTAGCTCTTTCATTTGCACATAAAAGCGGCATATCAACAGCTCATAAGCTTCCAAGTGGGGAATCCTCTGCTGGTGTAAAGAACATATTTGAAGGTTTCCTGACTCCAAGCGATCAATTATTATCTTGGGAAGTAAAGTCTAAACTGAACGACCGTGCTTACAACCAGGCGACCAGTATTTCCAACAATCCAGAGAAAGCTGAATTGGAGTTTTCAGCAATAATGTTAGAAGATTTACAAGAAAATGCAAAATTCAACATGTCTGGTTTCCTGCAGTATGATAAGAACAGTGACTGTCATATCATCGAGATTCCACTCATCGAGAGCTTTCCTGCAGCTTTTCAGCAGCTCAAAAACACACTGGTTCAAACCTTAGAGTCACTGCAGCAGGTCATCCGTGATGTAGATATTGACGGGCTCATCAGCAACTTTGGAGAAAAGCTAGAACGCCTGCCGACACAAGTGAGTAACTTCATGCAAGAGCTAGACTTGGAGAACAAAGTAAATCAAGTGAAAGTGAAACTTGATGATTGGATCGGTGCCTCCGCTGTCACGATGAATGACTTGGAGCTTGCTGTGAAGAATCTGAGGAAGAATTTAGAAACCACAGTAACGGACATCATCACCAAAATTCAAAAGCTCGTTTTTTCCGTTGAAGAGTACATCAAGGGTGGACGTCTTGAAGCCCAGATAACAAATGTTCTTTCTGATGTCGGAAATCACACGTGGGCCTTCGATGACCAATATAAAATTAAGCGGTCATTTCTCAGAATTCTTGATATCATCGAAGACATTATGAAACAGATCGATTTCCAGAAACTCCGGATAACCGGTGCTGTGTTTCTCCAGGAGCTAGACTCCAAATATGAAATCTTGGAGACGATTAAAACCAAACTATCAGAACTGAAACGAGTCATTGAGGATTTTAACATCAAGTCGATTTTTGAGGATCTGAAGGAGTATCTCCTTTCAGTTGACTGGGCTGCGCATGTTGAGCAGTTATCTTATAATATCCCCCCTTCAGAGATAGCAAAAGTCATGGAGTCGTTCCATGATGTTATCGTCAACTGGATTGATGAATATGAAATCCCCAACAAAATCAATGAAGTGTATTTCTACATCAGGGATCTTGTTTTAAAATACGACCTCGATGATATATTCAAACAGCTGATGGATCAGGTGGTGATTCTGGTCGAGCAGTTTAAAATTGAAAAGACTGTGCAGTCACTGGTAGAAGCTTTGAAGTCTATCAAATTTGAATATTTTTATGATAAAATAATGCAATTTCTGTCCAGTGTGACAAATCAGCTCAGAGCGATCGACTTTAAGAAGAGCATCGATGACCTTAATGAATATATTTCTTCGACTCTTAAATCAATGAGGACATTTCGGTACGGTGCCTTCGTTGATGATGCTAATAAGAAGATTGCTGAACTAACAAACTACATCAACGAGCAGATTAAAATATATGAGCTGGTGAAAAAAATTGAGGCTGTTAGGGACTTTTTCAGAGAGATCCAAACTTCCATTTTTACGTATTTGGATGAACTAAAAAACACAAAAGTGGCTGATGCTCTAAAAAGACTGAAAAATGTGATCGATACTACATTTTACAACGACATCAAACTGAAGGTGCAGGATATCCTTGAGGATGCAAGGGAGAGAATTGTTGACATGGACATCAGAGGCGAACTGTATTTATTCCTCGAAAGAGCGAGCGATTCCTACAGAAATATTGTTGAATTAATGTCTGCAAACTTTAACCAAGTGATGGATCAGATTGTAAAAACAGCAAAGGACAATGAGTTCATTGACCAGACGAAGCAGGCTGTAGATGAATTTCTGAGCTTACTGAAAAGAGGTAAGATTGAAGTTCCTACTTTTACAGTACCTCTCACTGATCTTGTTATTCGAGGATTTACAGTTGACATGAAGAATCTGCAGGACATTAGCATCCCAGCTCAAATTTCACTCCCTCCGTTCACCATCCTCAACTTGTACACCATCCCTGGCTTCACGATAGATGTCGATGAGATCAAAGCTAGGATCATTGCTCTGATAGATGAAATCAGAGACTTTGAGATCCAAACACCTGACCCAGAGGAAATCTTTGGTGATCTGAAAGTTCTCTACCTGTCTGAACTACCCGATCTCACCTTCACAGGAATAACTCTATCGGAAATAACATTTCCAGCAATCAACATTCCCAAGTTGCAGTGGAGAGGCTTTGATGTCTTACCACTCCCAGTTCCAGAGATAACTTATCCCAGGATTCCCAGTGACATTTGTGTCCCACGTTTTGGAAAACTCCATGGAGAATTTAGGGTGTACTCGGAAGACCTGACTCTCATTACAACAGGAAAAATTGAAAACTCAACATCCACACCAAAAAACCCACAGTTTACAGCCATCGTTGCGTCTCATGCCAAGTCGCGCTTCAAGCCGCTGGAGTACACGTTTGAAGTCACGGCTCAGCTGGAGGCTCCCAGAATGAAGAAGCTGCAGTTCACAGAAACACTGAAGGCTGCACACATGGCCTTTGCCATTGACCACGAAGGATCCCTGACACTCACCGGCACCGCTGCTGAGGCTTCTGCCAAGACTGTCGCCAGAGCTGCAACCCAAATGTACACAGCAGAGTTGGTCAGTAAAATGGACCTTACTTTAAAGAGTGGAGTCCATGCAGCCGTAGCCACAGCCTATAACCACAGCTTGAATATCCCGTCACATGAAACTTCAAGTCAGGCATCAGTGAGACAGAATATAGCAGCCTCTGCAGAATCTGGCAGAGTCACTGTGACTGGAGAGACTACAGGAAATGGAAAGTGGTCGGTTTATGACTACGCTGATGAAGGTACTCACAAAAGCAACATGGAGTTTGATGTAAATTTCAGCACTGCAAAGTTAACATTTGTTGGAGAAACTGACTGTGAGGCCTTAAAAGCCAAGCACACGCTAAGAGCTGAATCAGTGCTCTTAAATCGGATTAGCATTGATGCAAAATGTGAAACTGAAACTCCATCTGTGAAGAAGAGTGTTTTGGTTTTGGATGGAGTGGCTGATATCGGAGACCTGAAGGTTGCGCTCGCAGCCTATCACGATGTTGAATTCAATGGAAAACTGACTGGATCCATGTCCAACTCGCTGGAGTTCACAATCCATCCATTTGAGGTGGCCTTCGATGTTAAGAATAAAGTAAACTCGAAGGTTTTCTTTCCCCTGAGACTGACTGGAAAGGTAGCTCTGCAGCATGACTGTGGTGTTGCATTAAACTCTGTGAAACAGCACGCGTCCTGCTTTGCTTTGGCAAGGTTCAATCAGTACAAGTACAGTCACAACATCACCGCAGAAAACAATGATATGGACATCTTCTTCCACTCTTCCGCAAATGGAGAGGCTAACCTGGAATTTTTGACGATTCCGGTCTCTATCCCAGAGATGAGCATACCTTATTTCCATATTAAAACCCCTGAAGTCAGAGAATTTCCGCTGTGGGAAAATGCTGGATTCCAAACTTTGCTCACCACACCTCAGCAATCATTTGACATGAACTTGAAGCTTCACTATTACAAGAACCCTGACACCCACAGCTTTGAACTGTACCTTAAACCGATCTACGGTGCAATCAGCGACAAAGCCACCGTCCTCCAGGCTCAGTTTGAAGAGTTTTGGGACAAAGTGGTTGCATTTTTAAAAGATTCATACGACCAAGCAAGGCCACAGTACATCAAACACAGAACTGACACATCTAGCCTGCCACCTAGCATCTTCAGAGTCCCCGGATATAAAATACCAATCCTGGATATACAGGTTTCACCTTTCAGTGCCGAGATGCCGGCCTTTAGCTATTTCATTCCCAAAGAGGTCAGGACCCCAAGCTTTAAAGTCCCAGCTCTGGGGTTCTCTGTGCCGTCCTATACTCTTGTGCTGCCATTATTAACGTTTGCTGTCATTCATGTTCCAGAAACGTTAAGTGAAGTAACCTTGCCCACTTTTAGACTGCCACCCATGCAGAACAACATAGCGATCCCAGCTATGGGTAACATGACATTTGATTTCTCCTTCAAATCTGCTGTGATTTCGTTCATTGCCAGCGCAGGCCTTTACAATCAGTCTGACATTGTTGCTCGTTTTGGCACCTCTTCAACGTCAGCGTTTGACATTTTGAACATAAAAATCGACGGCACCGCCAGCTTGACGAGGACGAGAGGAATAAAAGTGGCCTCAGCTGTTTCCCTGGAGCACGACAACATCAATGCAAACCACGAATGTGCTGTCAACCTCAACAAAAGGGGCATGGAAGCTTCTTTAACCAACACTGCAAAGGTCAAGCTACCCTTCCTCAACCTGGAGCTGAATCAAGAGCTCATCGGAAACACCAAAACAAAGCCAAATCTCACATCCAAGAAAAAGTTAAAGTACATTTTTAGCATTCCTCTGATTGAGGCTGCAGGAAACTGTGACATGAACTGGGAACTGGAAGCGCTTCCTTCTTATGTGTCTCTGGAGACCTGCACCCAGGGGAAGACAGACATTATGATGGTGAACGGCTGTATCTTTTCTGGAGATCTGGAGAATAAAGCCAGTTTCTATTTCACTGCCAACAGCCTGCGTTCAACTGTCAAGACTGTCTTAAACTCAAACCTCGACAAACAGGAGAAACAAAAACGAAACTCCAACAACATCTTCCTGTTTGACTTGAATAAGGAGTTAGCTCTGGCAGTTTCCTTACAGCGAATTTTTGCAACGGCTGAATGCACGAGCACCAACAATGTCGATTTGGCCTTTTTCACAACAAATGGAAAACATGTCGCTAAAGGAGAACTGGACTTTATTCCTTTAACGACCTTCAAGACCAAACTGAACATCGAAGCGAGCCAGCCGAGCAGTTTGGGTGATGCTCGACTCATTCAGAGCATTAACCTGGCCGTCAGCTCAGAGAAGCAGTCTCTCACCTGGAGAGTTAAGGAACAGCTTGCGTCTTTCGTCCATGCTCATCTTTTACTGCTGTCCAATGATGAATCAGCAGTGCACTTGAATTTGGCTGGATCAGTAGAAGGTCCCCTCGCTTTTTTGAAGACAGTTAAGATTCCTATTTATCAGAATACCCTCTGGGATGTGCTCAGGTTTGATCAGGTCACCAGTATGAATAAATTACAATTCCTCAATGTCTCTACTAGTATTGTGTACACAAAGAGCATGGATGGCCATGGATATGCAATACCGTTTACCCTTTTGGAAAATGGTGTCAGTTTTAGCGTCCCTCAGATCAGCATTGCAGTGCCTTCATGGCTCAAAGGAATTCCAAGCTCCATAAGGAACATAGATGAGCGTCTGGAAAACCCCGACGTCCCGGATCATCTCACACTTCCCCCTGTGATCTCACTTCCTGCCTTTAATGTACCATTCACGACACTGCATGTGGAGCCCTTCACACTCGATCCTAAGAACCTCAGCGTCCCGAGGGTGATCAGCACCGAAGCCTTTGAAATCATGCTGCCTGGCCTGCCAGTACTGTCAGTGCCTGGTTATGACATTAACACAGAGTACCTGCAGGGAAAAACATCATTCCTTTCATTTAAGATACCACAATATGAAATCACAGTCTTACCTTTTACTCTACCAAAATCAGTGACCATCGGGGGGCAAACCATCAGCCTAAATTACATCACACGCCAGATTTCCAACTTTGACCTTCCAGCCATCACCATTCCAGAGCAAAGAATCGAAATCCCTGCAACGACCCTCCATCTGCCTTCAAGTGTGTTTATCCCATCTTTTGGTGCTCTCAGCGTCTCTATGAAGGTTTCATCTCCCATTTATAGTGTGTCGACAACTGCCAGTGTCGAGAAAAAGGACTCTGACCTATTAACTTCACTGAAATCCAGATGTGTTTCTACCATGAACTTCTTGGAATATGACCTCTCTGGTAAGACTAAAACATATGCCACTTTACCTGATACCACACATTTGTAAGCATTGCTGCATGTAAGGCAATATAAAACCTAATCTTGCCCATGTTTCCCCAGCTGATGCAACCATCGTATATGATAATGGGGCAATGAGTCTAACTGGGAAGGGAAAATTGATTCACACTGATGGAAATGTCAACTGGCAACATGTTTTGGCACAAAATGTCCGGTAAGTTAAACAAACGCTGCATTCTAGAGTCGACTGGAAACACTGGTTTAACTTTAAATAAGTTTCCCCATTTCTGTACACTGGTAAACATTTCATGCACACCACTAAAGTGCATCAGAAGCTGTGATGAACTGTCTCAGATCCCATCCGATAAACATTCAAAGTCTGGAATTAAACCCTCGATCGCTCGTTTTCTTTCAGAATGAAGCGCCGAGTCTCAGCAGCTGAGTCACTGTGAGTTTATTTCATGCTGATGTTTCACATCTCTCCATAGTTCTCTGTCAGGTGTTTATCACATATGATCTGGAGCATATCTGTACTAACGGTGTGTCTGTTTTAAAGGGAGCCTCGTCACACTCTTAGCGTTGACATCAGCAGTCGAACGTTCACAGATGTGAGCTTCCGCTTTGCTTCCCGCAAAGATGGCATCACTGCATCCGTGTCTTCGCCATCATCTGGTTTCCTTGGAGTGCATTTACAGAGGAGGTCTCCATCACAGTTGTATGGGAAGCTGTTCAGTCGATACCTGGTATTACATCTTAGACTCTTTTATTTCATATTATTGTTACTGTGAGTGCAGCTTTCCAGACTGTTTGATGCTCTGTTTAAAGTCATACTCTTCTCAACGTCTTCCCTCACTCTCAGTCGTCTCCAGAGAGGGATACCGATGTCTTCGCTGCAAAAATCTCACTGAGAAACTCGCAAAAATTCTTTGTGCAGACTTCGTGGAATCGGGACTTCCTGTGGGATGTGATGGAAGGCACCAAGCACAGAGTTCCTGCAATGACAGACGCTGTGTTCAAGTGCATTAACAAGTATCACACCTCCCACTTTGGCTTTGACATCAACCGTGGCAGCAAGAAGCTGAAAAACACACTTTCTTACGCCATAGAGCGAGCCTACGATCAGGTTCCTGTGTCTTGTACCACACCGCAGGATTGGATCCAAAACTTTGCTGATGGAGCGCGAGATAACTACCGGAAGGCCTCTGACGTCTTGATGTCCATGACTGTGCAGGATGCTATAGACAGGCTGTTTGAGACGGTGAAGCGTGTCATGAAACAGTGTGAAAACAACATGAATGTGCTGCTAGATGCAGCCTTGCAGTTTTTGAATGACACACGGTTCATGGTGCCGGGATCGGAGAGGAAGCTCTCTCTTATGGAAGCGGTCCAGGAAGCCCGTAGTGCCATTCAAAGAATCAACGGCCTCGTGGAGAACATCTCTACAGACATCAGGAAAATCAGGTTCACCGTACCTGGAAGTGATGCTTTTGTTAGCGGAGATGAGATCATGGATAAGGTGGGGAATATTCTGGACCAGCTGAGAGAGGGTGTGATCAGCGTGATCAACGTGCTCCACCTGACAGCTGCTGGATGTTTACGCGTCGTTGCTGAAAAAGCTGAGAGTTTCCTCGCCTACCTGCAAGATCAAAACTCTGAAATTTCCTCTAAAGTTGATGCCATTTATGCAGATGTTCTGCAGTTTTCAGAACAGCACGGCGAGGAGGCGCAGAGGTGCACGACTGAGTACAGAGACCTCATCAAACTCAAGACCCAGAAAGCCTTAAATGCTCTGAGCATGGAGCGAGTAAATGATGGGACCAGCAGGATCATCAGTATTTTGCAGGTGCGCTTCTATGAGGGACTTGAAGCCAGTGTGGCTCTAATGACCAGGGTCTCCCAGAGCACAGCACCCTACATTAGAGTCAGCGATGAGAAGATGGACATTGAGATACCTTTACCCTTCCTCTGGAGGTCTTTCAGCGAATGGCCGACGCCGCTTAGGCAGTGAATCACAACTTTGAAGATAAAGTGGTTTCATAATGGATGAAAAAATTGAAAACCCCCTTTTTTGACAATAAAAACTGTTTTAAAGTGATATTCATGAATGATAAAAATAAATTACGTTTCTTCTGTGAGATTCACTGAATGTGGTTCAGCCTGCACGTTGCTGTTTGTTGGTGTTCAGCTAAACAGATGCTGAACTCCAGTTTGTGTTTGTCTGATTGTGTCCTCCTGAAGCTCCTGGACTCATTTACACAAATAACATCAGAAATCTATAAGAATAAGAAGCATCAAAGCTTTCTGTGGTTCTTAGTCGTTTCCTCCTTTGTTGTTTGGCTTCTTCCTGTTAAACTTTGAAGATCAGTTTTCTCATGTTGGTTTACTTCCTGTTCTTAGGTTGTCTGCTCTGGCCTCCTTTGTTCCATCTGTGTCTCATCCCCAGTCAGCCTCCGAGTCCAAAAAGCTGTAAAATGTAAACAAACTGAAGGAAATGCAAATCTAATAAACTTCTATTTTACCTGCAGAAGAACAGAGAAAACATAAACTGAGAAAACGTACCATTTTAGGTACAATAAGAAAATTCTGCAACATCCGGTCTTCTTTTAACAACAGTCTGTAATGTCTGTGATCGGCACACTGGGGTGGTGGTCCCTCTTTTCAGGAAGGGGGGACCAGAGGGTGTGGTGCAACATCCTCAGCCTCCACGGGGAAGCTCTACACCAGGGAGCTAGACAGGAGAATCTGCCAAACATGTGCTTCCTGGACTTGAAGAAGGTATTCAACCACGTCTGACCTGGCATCCTTTAGGGGTGCTTTGGCAGTACGGGCTGGACGATATAGCCTCAAAATGATATCACCATATTTCTGACCTGAGCAGCAGATGTTTCTGTAACCATTAAAGCTGCTGGTCTGAGTGACATCAGCAGCGCTCCCGTTATTTTCCTCCAGTCTGGATGTTTGAAGTCTGGAAGTTTGTGAAGAGAAACTCTTTAGGTCCAGTGTGGAGTGAGGAGCAGGGAAAGAGATACTGTTGGCTTTAAAAATATTCTATTCTATTCTATTCTATTCTATTCTATTCTATTCTATTCTATTCTATTCTATTCAGCATAAGCATTTTTCCATGCATGACAAAAAGCTCAAAGCGAAGCACCACATTTATGATCTTTTATGTCTTTCTTTTGTTTAGTTGAGTTTGAGGTTTTCAGTCCAGATAAAGAAAGAAATATGAACACACAATAACACAGGTTCAGATTTGTATTATTAGTTTTTATGAAATAAGGAGAATAGTTTGTGTCCGTCCTGTTTTGTGCTTTGGCTGCTGTGACAGAGGAACTGTTCAGTCTTATTTTAAAAGGTCTGCTCCAAAACACCGACCTCTCCATGACCTCCTGTGGTGATGATGGTGACGATGATGATGGTGCACTGTTATTGTAGATGATAATAACTCCTCTCAGAGGAGAGGAGTTATTATCTTTCTTTATTAATGTGTCGTGAGTCGGTGTAAAAGGATCCAGATGTGTAATTTTCTTCACGCAGGAGGTCCATACCTAAGTCACCATGTTTGAGCCTCACGCCGTCGTTAGCATAAAAACAATGTGAAAGTTTTAGGAGGAAATGACAAGTTTTACCACATCATCATCATCATGAGTCACTGCGAGGGGAAACCACACATCTGCATGAAGTAAAACACGGGGAGATGCTCTTATACAATATCAGATGTCTGTGTGTCCGTGTGTGTGTGCATGCGTGTGTGTGTGTGTGTGTGTGTGTGTGTGTGTGTGTGTGTGTGTGTGTGTGTGTGTGTGTGTGTGTGTGTGTGTGTGCGCTGCCATGACTGAGCTCAGACAAAACAAAGACACCTGATACGATGTGAATCTTTGTCAGTTCATCTGCTCCTCACGTTAGAACAATGGACCTCACGCTGCTGCCTTCATTACTTTATCTTCTCTGTTCTTCATCACTCGTCCTCCTCAGGGTCGCACACAGAGGGACACACAACCAGTCTCACTCACATCTTTGTGTGTGGAGTGTGGGAGGAAGCCAGGCAGCCACAGAGAGAACGTGTCATTTTTAACAACACACAGATACAGGGGGAGGCCACCTGTGACACACCTGTACCAGACCTGTGATTGATTATTGGGATATTATGTGTGTAACCTGTGACCGGCCGTGCAGCAAGCAGACCGTGGACTCAGGAAGCAAACATTTAATGCTGAGCCCTCGCAGGAAATCCAAACACCGGGAATTTTAGGAAGACAACGAGACACACAGCCATGACATTATGTATGAGGGATAACGAGGGAGAGGCAGGAGGTTGGAGCACAGCTGAGGATAACTAATAATGACTCAGGAGAAAGTTAAACTGAAGACAGACACAGAACAGCAACCACCAAAATACAACGGGGAGACAGAAGCAACTGAACGAGGAGAATCCAAAATCAAACAATGCAAAATGTTAAAGTAACTTGAAGATATAAAAATGAAAAACAAGACCCTTAAACCCCAAAACTCAAACCTGGGCCCAGACCAGCAGACCAAAGCAAAGAACAAAAATGAATGGCAGAGAGGAAAATTGCAAAGTTGCATTTTTCTTATTATTATCATAAAAAAAGGACGAATTCACTTCAGCACATGCATGTTGTAGTTATTTGAAATTAATGCCAGTCATTTCTATCATTTATGCAATTTAATGTGAATTTAAAGATGAGATATTTATCTTCATGTTCATCTGAAAGTCTGGGATGAATACAAATATGTTACAGAAGCCAAGACGATAAATATGACTTATAAAAACTGAAATACACAGTATGACAAACAAAAAGGTAAATCTCGTTACATAATAAACTGAGGAAAATAAAAATAACGGATAAAATCTTTTTTAAAGACTAACAATGAACAAAATAAAATAATAATTCTATTTTGGCGATTGTGGCTCAAGAGTTGGGAGTTCGCCTTGTAATCGGAAGGTTGCTGGTTCGAGCCCCGGCTTAGACAGTCTCGGTCGTTGTGTCCTTGGGCAAGACACTTCACCCGTTGCCTACTGGTGGTGGTGAGAGGGCCCGGTGGTGCCAGTGTCCGGCAGCCTCGCCTCTGTCAGTGCGCCCCAGGGTGGCTGTGGCTACAATGTAGCTTGCCATCACCAGTGTGTGAATGTGTGTGTGAATGGGTGGATGACTGGATAAGTAAAGCGCTATATAAATACAGGCCATTTACCATTTTAATTGTCATTTGGTACGTTCAAGTTAACAGCGGGTGTAGTTACACTCCGGGCCCGTGGGGGCGGTAATGAGCTGGAAACTGAACCGGCCAATAAAAAGAAGAAGCTGCGTTGCAACTGGCCAATCAGCGTGCAGCAGTGCGAAGCAGGAAGCGGTTGAAAGCGAGCAGCACCTGCATGGAGAGGATATCGTAGTACTTATTCGTAATTGTTCTGAAAGGTAAACAGTTTTATTTACAGCGTGTCATAGTATCAGCTTCCGGTGTGACGTCAGCCTGTGAACGGTTTAGTTTGCAGTCTGTTAGCGGTTAACGGTGGTTGGTTAGTTAGATAGATAGTTAGTTAGTTAGTGGTTAGTTAGTTATTGGGTTTTCAGGTCAGTTAAAGCTTATTTTCAGATCTCAGATCAGCTGTTAGTGAGACACGTGACCAGCTGAAACCTGCAGCGTGAACACCTGCAGCTGTGAATGTGAAGCTCAGTCTGAACCTTTGATCAGACTGGAACCTTTGGACCTGCTGATACACCTGTGATACACCTGCGTGTCTGTCCTCGGGGCTGATGATGGACCCACCACACACAGACTTCTTCTACTGCTGCGGAGCCGCCACTGAGCTGCTCAGGTTTGGATCCTGCCCCCTAACCTCTGCACACAAGGTGCTCTTCCTCATCATCCCAGGTGAGCCCCGCCCACATCCACAGCTCAGCAGCACCTGCTGTGTTTCATACTTCCGGAGGAAGCTGTGCTCAGGAGTTCAAACATCAGGACATACCCTGTACTGAAGGAATACTACAGCACAGTAATACTGTCGTACAGCTGCAGTATTGCTGTAGTACAGCTGCAGTATTACTGTCGTACAGCTGCAGTATTGCTGTAGTACAGCTGCAGTATTACTGTAGTACAGGGCAGTCCTCTGATTTGGACTGTGACGTGCTCTGGATCAGGTTTGCGGTTACCATGGTTACCACAGGCCTCGCTGACCTCGTGCTGTCTGTCACAGGTAACCCAGGTGTGGTGGGCTTCTACAGGACCTTCATGCAGACGCTCCACAGCAGGTGTGGCTACCAGCACCCGGTGTGGGCCGTAAGCCACGCCGGCCACTGCGCTCCTCCGGCCTCCATGGACATGATCGAAGGTACGCACGGCTCTGCTCACAGGAGAGAGGAGCAGCTTGTTCGGGTGTTCTGACATTTCTATTCCGATTGCAGACGGCGCCTCAGCGGCGGAGGACGACGTGTTCGGTCTGGACGGGCAGGTCGAACATAAGCTGGCTTTCCTCAGGAATCACGTTCCCAGAGAAACCAGCCTGGTCCTGATTGGTCACTCCATCGGCTGCTACATCATTCTGGAGATGATGAAGAGAAATCCTGAGAGGAAGGTGAGTCATCGCAGTTCTCCAGTCTGAGGAGAAACCACAAATCGGCCTCGATCCACAAAAACACACAGCCTACAGCACGCACCAACACGCCTCCACCCAAACAGTGAAGCATGCAGGGACAGTGGACGGTGGACGTAGGGAAGGCTCCGGAGCTCAGACATGACCGTGCGCAGCGTGGTCGTCTCAGCCTGATCACATGATCAGCAGGACGGAGGCTCTGTGTGAGAACGAAACTAAAAACAAGCCAAATGAGTTTTTACTTATTGGGATCGTTTAATCCCGGAATACGACGGCCGCTCTGAGGTTTCTGTCGTTCAGAAACGGAGACTCTTTATGTTTTTATTGTCGCTTATTTCATCCTTAGCCTGCTGCTGTCGTTCACAGCGGGAGTGCCACATGTTTGATTTGGCACGCCCTTCTTTTCTCTCCTCCTGGGATCAAACGGTTTGTTAGCCTTTGTTAGGTGAATGCGTACCTGCTACACCGCGGAGCGCTCTGTGGGGGTTTGTTGGAATCACAAACTCTGTCTTTGGAGCGCATGACCAGCTTGGATGGCGCCCGGCGAGATCCTGGCTGAGGGCACTGATCCCTCCCTTCACTTCCCTCCCATCACTTTTTCAGGAAACGGATTAAATGACATGAAAATCCCCCTGCCTCTAATCCGGGAGTTTCCGCAGTTTGCAGCTTCCCGTCTCGGAGCTTTCTGTTGTCTGTCTGAAACCTTCTGTCTCCTCTCTGTTTTTAATGCAGGTCCTGAAGGCGCTGCTGCTGTTTCCCACCATCGAGCGCATGGCTCAGAGCCCTCAGGGGAAGGTCATGACCCCCGTGCTGTGTCACATGCGTTACGTGGTCTACCTGCCCCTCTTCCTGCTCTCGCTGCTGCCCGACAGGCTCAAAGTCGGCCTCATCAGACTGATGCTGGGGGGAATCCGCTCTCTGGACCTCACTGTGGTGCAGCCCACCCTGGGTCTGCTCAGTGGAGACTCTGCAGGTTGGCCATGCTTCGTTCTTCTGTGAGATATGCAGCGAGGGCAGATGCTTTTCAGACTGCAGACATTTGTCTTTGATAAGAAGCTTTTATGTGATAACACAGAGACAGAATTATGGAGAGAAACCCTGTCAGCACCAGAGGTGCCTGCAGAAAGGTGGAGGGGGGTGGTTACATTTACAACATGCAGTGGCTGTATATTAATATACTGGGAGTGAAAGAGCTCAGTGCATGATGGGAATTCCCCCAGCAGGCTGGCAGCGGTTCAGATTTAGCAGCCGAGGTTTGAAATGTTGAGTTTGCCGCGAGAGCCGGACCAGCTTTAACCTCTGTGGTTTGTTTCCACGTGCAGCCAATGCCATGTACCTGGGCGGGCAGGAAATGAGGAAAGTTCTAAAAAGAGATGACACGACTATCGGGAAACATCTCGACAAGGTAAGAAAAGCCCCGCCTACAAGAGGAGCGAATGAAAATGTAAGCCAGATACCCGTGCAGGTGATGTCGCCTTTTTATTAAAGACAGCACTTCTGATTGCTCACGCTTCACTTACTGCTCTGTTCTGTACACTTTGGACACTTTACCGACCTCGTGACCTGACGCCGCTCCCAGCGCTCCTGTCAGATGTTATGGCAGAGCTCGGCGTCGGCAGTCTGACTCTGAGGGTCAAAGGTCAAACCTGTTGTTCCCCTGGTTGCGCTGAGCCGATCGGCCCTCTGCTGGCTGCAGGCTGGCGATCAGCTCATGGAGCGCTGCTTTGATCACACCCTCTAAAACCACGTTTCCCCTTTTCTCTCTGTCTGTCTGTCTATCTGTGCTTTCAGCTGATATTTTATTACGGCGCGACCGACCACTGGTGCCCGGTGCACTATTATCACGACATCAAGCGGGACTTTCCGCTCGGCGACTTCAAGCTGTGTGAAAACGGCTTCCGTCACGCCTTCGTGCTGGACGCCGGACGAGAAGTCGCCGAAATGGTGTTTGAATGGATCCGTGAAGATTTACGGAGCCGAGTTCCCGGTGACCAAAACACTTTATTCGGTGCCTCAGCTGGACGTTTGTAACGAGACCACAGAGCCGAACCAGAGGTTCACGTTGTCTTTGTGTAATAAGATGTGCAGGCGTGGAAGCTGTACAAGTTTGTGCTCAGTGAAAACACTAAACACAGCATCAGGCTTCAGGGGCCACATGCTTCCAACTCTTATATCCTGGCTAATCATATAAAAATGTACAACGATGGCATGAGGGCGCTCATCATAGAGACCAAACATTTATTAAAGTTTAGAAAATTTACAGTGAAATTTCAAAGAAGTCCAGATGAAGCCGCAGATGTGAGGAACAGTATTTTTAATGCATGTGAAATAACTGCTGTAATATTAACTGTTGTTTATAATTGTGGGAATAAATGAAAACTTAATTTATTAAACACACAGATTACAACAGGCCGTGTTACTGCTTCAGGTTAGGTCTGAAGATAAAGTTAATCCCACTTCAGGCTCCTGTAAGTGTGTCGCAGCATGAAGCAGTGAAAGCCTCGCTCTGTGTTCTCGGAGCAGATTTTATTTCTCTTTTCAATCTTTCCGATTTCCTCGCTGGTCGACCTCGACGGGTCCTCGATACCTCCCAGCTTAAAAATCTTGGAAAAGTTCCCGAGCACCAGTATCTACCGGGCCACTTTACAGGTGAGCACATGAAGGCGTGCGCTCATCACCGTGCAGATAGCTGTGGCTGCACGTCCTTCACGGTGAAGATCACGTGATGTTAATGCAGCTGGAACTGAACACCGGTCGGTATGAATAAAAAACACAAACTGAAGCAGTTGCATCAAAACCATTTATTAATTTCTCAGTCAGTAAAAAGTGGCTGTGTGAGGGCAGGTTCATGGTTATAGACTGAATGGCTGGTGCTGAGTTCAGTAAACTAACAATAAACACAAACTAATATTCCAGATGTGGTGTCAGATGTAATGAGGTGATGGGCATCTGTGAGACTAAAGCTTTGCTTCTTGGTTCATGCTGAGAAAAATCTGAATGCAGGAAGTGAGAGTTACAAATATGCAAATGGAGCAGAAATAACTTGATAACACGACTTCAGATGGCAAAGCATCGTCATCTATCAGAGGCGTATTTTCAGCTTGTTCTGCCGTGATTGGCCACAAAGACCAGAGCAAAAACACAAACATTGCAGGTGTTGCTCTAATCTTAGACCAGTACACGAGGTGAGCCCTGTGTTTGTGCGTGTGCTACCGGCACCCACAGCTCTCCACCACCATGTTCTCGTACTGCTTGTAGACCACGCTGCCGGCTGAGTCCATGTAGAGGATGCTGATGGGGCTGAGACTGGAGGGGACGCAGCAGCTGGGTGGGCTGAGATCAGGGTCCATGGAGTTCATCAGGGTCTGGATCACAGCGTGGTTGGTGGGCTCCAGGTGGGCGCGCAGCGGGAAGTCGCACACGCCGTCGCAGCGGCGCGCCTCATAGTCCAAAGGGGCGATGATCCAGTCGTCCCAGCCCAGGTCTCTGAAGTTCACGTGCAGCGGTTTCCGGCTGCAGCGGCTCCTCCTGCCTCCTCTCGCTGCCCCACCGAAGGATCGTTTGGACAGAGCTCTCTGTCGATGCCGGCGGTTCTTCTTTACGTGTTTTGGAATAAGTTTTGGAGGCTTCGGGAGGCTAAATCCTCCGCCCTCGCTCTTCATCCTGTGCGTCACCTCTCCGAAAAGACTGTCGGCAGTGTTGGTATGCCAGAAAGCCACCAGCAAAGCTTTCTCCTGGGTTGGGCAAGGGGTGCGACCCAGCCCCAGGACCAGCGGGTCAGCCACCTTGTTGGTCAGTTCAGAGAAGGCCAGGAGATGGAAGCAGGCCTGCTGTGGCTCCAAAGGATTCCTCAGATGGGCCTTCATGCCAGACCACACGTCAAACACCTCCCACCTGGGAAGACCACCACCCAAAACCTCGACAGTTCTGGAGTCCAGCAACTGTCTCTCCGAAGAGCAGGAGTACAGGCGGATGTCGTAAAGGTTTCCTCCGCTTGTTAGGGTGGGTCGAAGGTCTGCCGGAGGCTTCCTGAGGATTCTCAGCTCGGCCTCCACCAGCTCTTCCATCCTGGCCTGGCTGGATAAGTCGAAGACGTAACGCTGGCCGCTCTCCCATGATGGAGGATCTGTGGATAGGAGGAAAGTAAAGGTAGAACACGCAGCATGTAACTTTATGTGCAGGTCTGAAACTTGACCCAACACTGGTCTTTGGTCACATGTGGGACTCAAGCCTCAGTCTTCAATACAGCTCTTTGGCTCTTCATAGGATGTCACCTCTAAATCTTTATGGTATTCATCAAAGTCAGTGATAAACATCATAAAGGGAACTGGGTGATGTTAAACAGGAATGATATTTACAAATGTCATTCCTGTTGTTAAACCCGTTTAACAAAAACAGGAAGTTGAGAAAGAAATGCACTAAAATGCTGCTGAAATGATAAAGCTGATGTGTAGGTGGATTCATTCATGGATTTCAAATCTATTAAAAGTTTTTCAGGCTGACTTAGGGGAGGATTTAGATAATTTGAGATAAATGATCAAATTTTCAGGAGCGGAACCACGCCTCCAAACACGCCCCTTCTGGCCCTTATCTATATGTGACCGACACCCCCACCCCCCGTTCTACAAGCTATTCGTTCTTGCTTTTGTGTAGAATCAGAAAGCAAAGCAGAGCTTTCCCCAAACCACAGCTCAGTTCATGTCTAAGCCGTTCACCTTTGTCTACTGAAACGCTGTCAAACCGAAAATGAGGACGAGAGCCCAGCGAGTAAATGGCAATGAAAACTGTAAACCTGGAGATGAGACCTTCTGATGGTCACAACATAGCAAAAACCCGCATAAATAATCACTTCTACTAACTTTAAATTCTTTACTAACTTTAAAAATCAGTGATACATTTGGTAATCTGTGTCAACAATGGAAATATGGTTGTTTAAAACAGAATAACACCAAATATAGATGTAATAAAACTAGAACATTCAGTTTTTTAGGCAGGATTTTGAGGGAAAGTGAATTAAATTGGTGTCAAACCTTGTCCTTGATCCACAAAACTTGTAACTGTGTTAGCAGCTCCTGCTCTGTCTGAAACATCAAAGTCTCTGCTTTGAGGTTTGGACAATGTTTGGTATAAAAACACCATGTAGTCGTGGAGGACCACCGAGCCGTTAACTGACCGATCTCTCCTCGTCATGCTCGTGTTCGCGCCCCACTGCGAACTGGACTGCAACGCTCCGGTCCACTCTATCCCGACCCAGAAAGCAAAGCAGAGCTGAAACAACACGGGTCGGTCCATCTGAGGTGCTGTCCTCAAGTTAAATGAAGAGCTTCAGGTGGGGGTGAGACTGAGAAAAATCCCCTCTGACTTTCATTCAGAGGATCATCTTCATGTAGATCGTCTGTGTACCTGCATGCAGGTGTACAGGTAGACAGTGCCCCCTGCCAGCTTTGTAGATTAATAGACATGTGTCACATTAAAGGAAAAATGACTGCAAGGTGTTTTCAAAAGAAGTTCCATTTTATGCCTCAAAACCAGCTTCAGTGCTAGAGTGATTGTCTAACACTCAGCTGGATCTAAGCATTTCAGAAGAAAACCCCTCCTTTGGTTTAACATGTAACTCGAACCTACAGCCATGCAGAGCCACCAACGCCTTCACTGTGAGCATCAGACTTTTTCCTAATTTATAAAGAATGCATTCTGAATGTTTGAATCCTAGGTTTTGTTGATCAACACAGACTCACTTTGGAATGTAGTTTTTATACATTGTATCTTATTAACCCTGCCTTTTCAATACACTGCACTCGTCATATGTACAGTAATTACAAATATTTCACAATTTAAAATTATTTTAAATCGTTATTATTTTATTATTATTATTTCTAACTTTCATGATACAACACAAAACATGAATACATTACAAAATATATCTTTACATGAATGTAGTGCTCAAAATAAATAAATAAATAAAAACGTTGTATCAAGTCAGTAAAGCTCCTGGATCAAAATCAGAATACTTTATTAATCCCTGAAAAAATGATGTGGTTACAATTGCTCCAGGATGATAAGGACAATAACAGACAGAGCTAAATTAAATGTCTTGATGCATTCTCAGTCATCCAGGTAACTAAATCCCCAAAAGTTGATTCTGTTCATCTGGACGTAGCGTTTTCAGTGGGAGAAACGTTTCGTCACTTATCCAGGTGACTTCTTCAGTCTCAGCTGACTGCAGATTTCCCCAATCTTATAAACAGTATATTTGCATAATGACTGAGGGCTGGTTTCAGTCACCATCAGTGATGTGAGTGTTGGGAGTGGCGCATGGGAAGTTGTCAGGTATTATGATTTCTTTGCAAAATTAACACAAGATGCGACTCAAATCCTGCGTTGAGTAAAGATTTTTTTTCTTTTGTAATTCCAGATTTGGTTAGTTCAAAGATAAGAATTTGTATAATTTTTGTGATGAACAATAATAATTTTGAAAATTGAATTGATTGCAATAAGCACTGTTTTCATAAAACAGCTGCAGCTTTCATTGCAGCACATGTGGTACGTTAACCTTTGTACTGTTTTCATCAGTTCATTTTGCATTTAACATGTGAACATGTTGGATGATCTGTCTGCTGTCACTCGAGGGGGCTGAGGTCTGAATCTGAGGGCAGCTCCTGTAATCACAAAGAGAACAGAACCATCAAACTCAGATATAAATTTTATCCCTCAAAATTGAAATAAAGCTGATTCTTCTGTCCTCACACAATCAGGATCTGAAGTTGTTCTCTTACATTTTTTTCAGTATTACAGTACACTACAGTACTTTAATCCGTACTTCCTGATTAATGAGTTACTGAAGTACAAGCTTTTAAATAAATGTTACTGTCTTTACAGATGTGGCAAGAGACTGAAAACATACTGTTGTTTGCACATCTTTAATATTCAGCTCTGCACAGGAGCTGCAGCAGGATGCGGCCTGTTGTTTTTACAGTATAATACTTGTAATAAAAGTACAGTAACAGTAATTAGTGACTGAGCAGCCCGGAGCGTTTCTCTTGATTTATTTAGCAAATTAATTCACCTGCACAGATTAGCTAAACGAACCCTGACAGCCGAGTTCTCATCTTAGCTAGCTAGGTCTCAGGACCGAGCTAAGGACGGTAGTTACTAGAGATGGCACGATACCACTTTTTTATGTCCGATACCGATACCGATATCATAAATTTGGATA